GCCAACATTTGTTGTTGGTGGTGTTTTTGATGATAGCTATTCTCACAGGAGTGAGGTGGAATCTTAGTGTGGTTTTGATTTGCATTTCCTTTATGCCTAGGAACGATGAACATTTTTTCATGTGTTTTTTGGCCATTTGGATTTCTTCTTTTGAAAACGTTCTGTTTAGTTCAGTTGCCCATTTCTTTATTGGTTCATTGATTTTGGGAGAGTTTAGTTTTTTGAGTTCCTTGTATATTCTGGTTATCAGTCCTTTGTTGGATGTGTAGCTGGCAAATGTTTCTTCCCACTCTGTGGGTTGTTTCTTCAGTTTAGAGACCATTTCTTTTGTTGTGCAGAAGCTTTTTATTTTCATGTAGTCCCATTTGTCCATCTTTTCTCTTAGTTGCTGGTCTGCTGGAGTTCTATTGAGGAATTCCTTGCCTATACCTATTGCTTCCAGAGTATTCCCTGATCTTTCCTGTACTAATTTCAGAGTTTGGGGTCTGATATTAAGGTCCTTAATCCACTTTGAGTTGATACTAATTCAGGGTGATACACATGAATCTAGTTTCAGTTTTCTGCAGGCAGATAACCACTTTTCCCAGCAACATTTGTTTAAGAGGCTGTCTTTTCTCCATCATATGTTTTGACATCTTTGTCAAAACTAAGGTGGGTGTAGCTGTGTAGACTCATATCTGGGTCCTCTATTCTGTTCCAATGGCCTTCATATTTGTTTTTGTGCCAGTACCATGCTGTTTTTATTACTATGGCTCTGTAATACAGTTTGAAGTCAGATATTGTGATCCTCCAGTGTTGCTGAGAATTGCCTTGGCTATTCACAGGCTCTTGTGTTTCCAAATGAGCTTTAGGGTAGATTTTTCAATCTCTGTGATGAATGTCTTTGGGATTTTGGTGGGTATTACGTTGAACATATAGATTGCTTTTGGTAGTATAGCCATTTGATTCTACCAATCCATGAGCACGGAAGATCTTTCCACCTTCTGTAGTCTTCCTCGATCTCTTTCTTCAGAAATTTGTAGTTCTCCTTGTAGAGGTCGTTCACATCCTTTGTTAGGTTTACTCCTAGATATTTGATTTTTTTTTTGAGACTATTGTAAATGGAATTGTTTTCATATATTCTTTCTCCATTTTTTCATTGTTGGTGTAATGATTTTTGTAAGTTGATTTTGTATCCTGCCACATTGCTGAAGCTGTTTATAGTGTTTAGGAGTGTTGAGGGTAGAGTTTTTTGGATCTTTGAGGTATAGGACCATGTTGTCTGCAAATAGGGAGACTTTGACAGTTTCTGTACCTATTTGTGTTCTTTTTATTTCTTCTTCTTGCCTTATTGCTCTAGCTAGGAATTCCAGGACTATGTTGAAGAGTAGGGAGAGTGGGCACCCTTGTCTCATTCCCAATTTTAGGGAAAATGGTTTCAGTTTTTCTCGGTTAAGTATGATGTTGGCTGTAGGTTTGTCATATATAGCTTTTATAATGTTGAGGTACATTCCTTCTATTCCTAGTTTTCTTAGAGCTTTTATCATGAAGTGGTGTTGAATCTTATGAAAGGCTTTTTCTGCATTTATTGAGATGATCAAGTGGTTTTTGTCTTTGCTTCTATTAAGGTGCTGTATTACATTTATAGATTTGCATATGTTGAACCACCCCTGCATCCCTGGGATAAAGCTGACTTGGTCATAGTGAATGGTCTTTCTGATACGTCATTGGATTCAGTTAACCAGACAAAGACACATCCAAAAAAGAGAACTATAGGCCAATCTCCTTAATGAACATCGATGCAAAAACCTCAATAAAATAATGGCAAACTGAATGTTTCATTATATATATATATGTATATTATTGGCAGTCTAATTACCAAAATTTTGTGTTAATTCTGTAATTTGGTATAGAGATGTTGTAATGGTCATCTTGATGAATCTTAAGCAGTATAAGATATCAGAAAATCTTTAAAATTGCTAAGAAAGATTGTATCCTTTAGCTCACTGACAGTATTAATTTGAGCTAATCACTTTTTAACTATATATATTGATGAAAGTTCATTGTATATATTGTAATTATTATTATTTTTGGCATCACTGAATTTAAACTCAGGGCCTCATGCTTGCTAGGGAAGCAGCTTTACAGTTTGAGCCATGCCCCCAGCCCTTTTTGCTTTAGTTTATTTTTCAGATAAGTTCTCATACTTTTGCCCAGGCTAGCATCTGATCATGATCCTATTACTTCCACCTCCCAAGTAGCTGGGATTGCAGGCATACACCACCCCACTTGTCTCCCATATTGTAATTATTAATTAACAAAAAATTTATAGTTTAACTGGAGCAAAGCAGAAGCTCCCTTCTGCAGGACATCTAGGTTAGTAGTTCACATTCCAGCTTTGCCATTTACCAGCTGAATAAGGAAATGTTTGAACAGATCACCCAGCCATTTTGTGTCTCCATTTCCTTACCAGTAAATTTGGAGAAAGTGATGAGTAAAATGAGTTAAAATGTATAAAGTGATTTAGCTAGTACCTATAATATAGCAATCACTCAATAAATGGTAGTTTATTATTACTTACACAGTTGTTATCACAACCCTTTCTAGTTTGGCACTTTTAGCCGTATCTTCTCATTTGAGACTTACGATATTCCTATAAAATAGGTAAAAGTAAATGTCAAAAATAATGAAAGTAGAGATTAAAAGTGTAACTTGCTCATGTTCTCAAACCTAGGAAGTATTGACAGTGGGGCTGTTGTGTTTTGACTGATATTCCCCCAGACTCACCATATTATGATCCCCTTCTCAGCCATGCTGGGGAAATAAGGGCTGTTATAACATGGTGACTTTTTTCCCAGGACAGTCTTCTGAACAGTCATGTACTCTTAGGTTTCCAAGTTAAAGTGGAGAAGCCAAGAGCTTCTCACAACAGCATTTAGGCTGTTGTGATAGAGGATTATTTTGACCTGAAGTTTACACCAGTATCATAGAGTGACTCAGTGCAGAGATTAAAGAAGTCACATTTGACAAAAGCTTGTGTGGATCACTATTTTTCAACAATGATGCAATCCTTTACAATACCCTTCAAGTTTAGTGCCTTCCCAAACATACTAATAAATAAAAGAAGTGTTAGCAGAAGAGGTTGGGGAATTGAACATGAAAACAGGAAATATGTACCAAATTCTGGTATTTGTTTTTCATAGTCTCATCCAAGGACCTTGGCTTCTTCAGTGGGTTTTTGAAATCTTGTGACAGAAAGTACCTCCCATCAATACTGGGAAACTGGTAGTGATACCTGAGCAAATAGGATTCAGATCATTCCAATATCAAGCAACAAGAATATTGCTTAGATCCATACTTGCTTCCTCCAAACCTGGATGCAGATGCTGAAAAGAATGGTTTAGCTCTATGAACCATACAAACACTAGAAACAAACATCTGTTGACACCAGATGGCCTAATCTGTAGATAAAGAAATTCAGACTACAAGAAAATGACATAATCATTTTCCAGAGAAATAAAAGCCAAAGACAGTTTGAAATATCCATCTCTATTTTACAGAACTGAGCTTTACTGATATTTTTTGGTCAAAATATTCACTTGAATTTTAACAATAGAGTAGCTAGTGAAATTCAGACTCAACTTTAGTCATCTGACCAAATAATATCATTAATAAATTAGAAATTTTAATTCATGAGGATTATTTTTATTTAATACTATTTAAGAAAATAAGTATTTGTGAGTTATCTGAGGGATTTTGACATGGATGCAAAGTATTAGTTGTTTCTCCTTTGGTTCCATAAGCTAGAATGAAATTGGCTGATTTAATCATTTTGAATCCATGTGGCTCCTCTGAGATAGGGCCAGATGTAACCAGAAGGATTTATAGGGTGTAAAATTCAAAATGGATTAGAGATGCTTTTCTGTGTTCAGCCCAACACATCCTAAATCAACATCCCCTGAATGGACCAGAGCAATCTCTGGCTGGCCTAGTGGGGAAGTTGTCATGGCAACTGACTGGCAAGCTCAGCCAGTGGAATGTGAATGCAAACAATAGAATGAAAAGATTGTGTATAAAACAGCATAGTAAGGCTGCTCCTACCCAGGTACATCAGGGAAGGTGTGAAATTGTCCCTGAATTTTGTAACTTCTTGCAATTTTGCCTGCTCAATTGAAATTTATTAAGTGTCCTTTCCCAGTTACTGGTTTTAAAACATTTCTGTCAATAGAATACACAAGGTATGGAAAAATAAGCACCCAGTAGATGAATGCAGTGGTGTACTAGCCCTGGAGAGCTGTCAGACTGACACTAATCAAAAATCTCTTAAAGGAGGTGGGAAGCAGGCTTAAGGTAAAGCCCATGACTCTTTAGTGCCACCTTGCGTCCTATTAGATGCTAAAAATTTACTGGAAGCAAGCCATCCTCAAACACATCACTGGACAGCAGTAGGACAGACAGGGAAAACATTAGAGCTGGATTATCAGAATTGGTAGTCCCCTTTTCAGAAGAAATTGCACGTGATTCTTTCTAAACCTCAGGTTGATAAAAATGAAGATTAATAACTTTGGTATAATGTAGAAATGAAAATCGAATGAAATGTCAAATAATGCCAATTTCAAAAGTTGGCAAGAGGCCAAAATGGTGGCTGAAAGGTAGAAGAAAGAGACAAGAAAGATACAGGCTTGGTGATGAGGAGTGTTATTGTTGCCATACTAACTCTTACAAAGTAATATTTTTTTAATCTACTCAGCTATACTGGTATCAAATTAATCAATAGATAAAAATAAAGTGTGTATCACCAATTATACTTTTTCAACTCTTTAGTTCATGGATAGTAGGTAGCAAGATGGCAGCATTTGCTCAAATGATACTTCTTGCCCACCTGTCATCCCTTCCCCAAATCAAACCCATCACCCACTGCTGCCCCAACCATTACCTCACCCATTCAAAACTATTACCAAATCTCATGTAATTTCAGAAGTGGCAAATGACCTAGCTGTGTTTCTGTGTGTTTCTTCCAGGGTTTGAGTTTTTTGAAACAAGTGCCAAGGATAACATTAATGTCAAGCAAACATTTGAGCGCCTTGTGGATATCATCTGTGACAAAATGTCAGAGAGCTTGGAGACCGACCCAGCCATCACTGCCGCTAAGCAGAGTACAAGACTCAAGGAAACCCCTCCTCCACAACAGCCCAACTGTGGCTGTTAATGGCACCCCATCCACAGAGGCAACACCTGGGGGCTCTAGTTGCCAAGAAACAGCATTTATAAATGGTCTATTATCCTTTACTTATACTGCCTGATAATTATTTGAAGGAAGTCTTTGATGTCTATGGCCCATACATGCATTCAAATCTTGGGAGATTTCCTGTGTTACTATGTGGCACATATGTGATCTTATATTTGTAAGGACTACCCATCTATAAACATCTGGTACTTGCATGTGACTTGTTATTTATTTGTGTTTGAGGCTCTTTATTTTTTCTTTCAAATTTCTTTCAATTAAGCTACTGCTGGAACCTCAGACTATTATATAATTCACTACAACTAACCATTTTACAACGGATTCAAATTATGCTATTCACTCATATAGATGATGACCAAGGAATTGACTGTATAAGTGTGTGAGCAAGGGAAAGATGTCAGGAGACTTAATTTGGTTTACTTAACTGTAAAACAAATGAAAATTTGCTCTTGATTAGGGACACTGTCACAGGCCTAGGAAATTTACTATTAAGGAATGTATCTACTTTTCAGTCATTAATAATTGAGAAAAGGATTCACGATGAAGAAGTTGAAATACTGTTTTTGAAGTCCTTCCAACTTTCCTAAATCATTAACATTAACTTGACTGGGACTAAATTTAAATGATAATCTTGATTTACATATTTAAATAAGCAAATACCCCACCCCAGGACTGGTCTTTTCATTGATTCTACCCAACTCTGTGAATATTTGAGAGCACTGAACACACAAGGAGAGATATCTACTAATTGCAAATTATGCAACAAGAATTTTAACTAAGGATATGAGTAGCTATAGAATTCCAAGGCTTGTGATCCCCTATTTCCTTAATGACTTGCCCCTTGTAACACATACCACCACCACCACCATCACACCTTTGCTCTCTGGAACCACCGTCAACTCTTGGAATAGAGGTTAAGTTGAAAATGATTAGGGTTCCTATTCCTATACAAGGTAGATTTGTTCCCCCAACCTTTGCCTTCTGTTCAAACCTCAGCAACTTCTTCTACCAATTTAGGAAGCTGTTTGAATACTTCAGTGGGTCCCAAGCTAAGAAAATGACTATTTTCATCTTTAATGTTACTCAACCAAGATATTTATAATTCTCAAGCAAATTCCCCTATGTAAATCTCTAAACATGTTCAAGTTACACAGAGAAGACTCCTCACACCTAAGAGTTACTGAAACCCTTAGAATCCAGAATACTTTGAGAAAGAGAGGAAACCATTTGAATATCCAGATTTTTACCCCAGATTTCCAGAAAACCACATATAAATAATAAGAAAACAATAAATCCCACCAGGTCTGCTGAGCCCTGGTGGGAAATTTGGATCTTTATCACTGGTCAGCAGTATATTTGCAGCAAGAATTTTAGGAAGGTATCAGGCAATTCTTGGCACATTTGAAAGGATGGTTTCCATTAAGTGGGCTTTCTCTTTTTTTGGAGGTTCTGTTACATATTTTCCCCTCTTTTTAAAAATAGAGAAACTTCTCATGCAAGTATTGGGTACAGGTTTATTGAACGTGAGTATTGATTGGAAAATATGTGTATATATGTAGGTATCTCTGGAGAACAAATGCCTGTAAGTCGGGGAATAAGACAGGTACATTAATGATGAAAATTGTAGGAGAGCACTTGGGATGTTTAAGTACATCCATGTTACTTCTTAACTTCTTAGTTTCAGAACCAATAATTGATAGCAAATTTCCACTTTGGCACCCTGCAAGACAAGCCTTAGCTTACTGAAGACAAGAAAGCATTAATGTTTTATTAAAGCTTAATGAGGCAACCAGATTCAAAATCACAGAAATTGAAATGAAGGAAAAGAGAGAAATGGGGCATAAGAACAAATTTGTTTATGATAGTAGCCTGTTTACATGACACTGTCATATTTCCATAACCTGGGCCAGGATGTGATCTTATTAAATGATACAGCTGTATAACTCAATTTCACAATCTAATATGAAATAGTAAAGCCAGGAAACCCTTCCCACCCTCCATCATAGCCCCATCCACACATCCATATGATAGATGTAAAAGGCTTAAATAGGATATTTTAGATGGCTTCTTTAGAGGTTATTTACATATGTATTGTCATAAAGTTGAAAGCAAAATAAAAGAGGGTCAAAGATGGAAAGAGCCAAGTTTTGCTCATTTGAAAATTTCTCTGAAGAGCAGATTGCTCTTGCAATTAATTGTCCCTTGACAGGAAGATCTAAGCCAACTATCCACTTACACACAGTATCAGGCCTTGCAATGTTAGACCATTGTGTGCCACTAAAGGGAGAATGATGCAACAGTAGCCACACTGTCTTTGCCAAGAAACATTAATATTTTCTATTTTCCATACCCCACTGGAAGCACAACTATCCTCATTGACTCTCAGTTCTGAAACTCCTACCCTGCTGTGAATTTCATTCCATATAATTCAAAGAAAATTTCCCACTGAGGGTTGTCGTGAAGCTCAAGGGAAAGTACACTATGGCATGGCATTCTCTGTACCTGATCTCATCAAGATATCCTCGTTTCAATTTTGGCTAATAAAGGAACAAGCCCAGGTTAACGCAGAGAGATTCCATTGACATCAAGCTGCATTACTTGCAAATTCTGACATCACAATCCCAAGGTTTTTAAGCCTTTGGCCGCTATACACGTATTCACATGTACACACTATTCTTCCTTCTGCAAGAGTCTAAATATCTAAAAGTCATTTTTAGCAATGCCCTAACCAAATTTGTATTTGAAAGAGCAAGACACCTTTCAAAGCATACACTTGTGTTAGTTTCTAAATCTTAGACATCATCTCTTGTGGTCTTCGATGCAATGAAATTAGTATCTCATGTACTAATTTGAGGACCTCCCACTCCTCAAAATACATTTAGGAATAAGCCTTTACTGCTTCTAGCAGATGCTTCCAAGAGCTGTGGTGTTGGTTCATCTCTTTCCTTTCCTAATGCAATTAAGAAATTGGACTGGAAATTATTTAACCTGAATAGTCATCCTTGAGGTGAATCAGCATTTCAGCCTTTTGGAATGTGAGTGGGTGTGGAAGGTTCATGAGGTGTGTCCTAAGATAGTAGTTTAACCATTAGCATCACTGCTATGAGCTTGCAGGAAGAATTACTTCAGGGCAATGAATCGGTTTGTTGTGTCACCCCCTCTGAATAGCCTTTGCTGTGAAGAACCTCTAATGACTATAAGAAGCAAGTAATTCATTTATTCGAAGTTCATTATCCCTTCACTGCTGGATGCGTAAGTGCTGAAATTTGTATTTGAAAATGCAGCTGTGATGATGCCTTTCAGTTGTAGCAGAAAGTGGAAGCATTGTGGTGATAAATGTGAATATTCAGTTCTACAAAATAAACAACTTGAATTATGCAAGACATCAATATGCTCCATTAAAAATATGTATTTCTCCTACTTCACTCTTTCCCAAATTAACTATAGGCCTTTTGTTTCTACAGCACATGTGTCATTTTTCAGGAGCCAACTTAAACTTCTAATTTTAACGGCATCTATGCTAACAGTAAACCTTCAGGTGTACTATGTTATTTTTTTAAAGTGAGATGCATTCCACTACTAACTGAACTTCCATGAAGCGACATTAATTTTGGAGTGTTGTGGTTCATTATCAGTGGTTCATTGTAATGTGTTTTATCCAACATGAATCTTAGTGCATGGCTGAGGTTGTCTTACAATCTTTTAGTTACCTGTGTGGCATTTGTAGGACTGTATTAAAAATGTATCCAAACTCTACCAAGCTATACCAAGCACAGGTAGCAGTTGCATGTGAAGAACTGTGACATAAATCTCACTTTAAATTCATGACTGAAACTGTTCTAGACCAAAAAGTTAGTCTGTTGATAACCTTTATAGTACTGTTGGAATGCTGTGCCATACTGTTGGAATGGTAAAGCATATTTGGGAGCTGGCCTGTCTGTCTGATTAACCTTTTCTGTCTAAATTACCATCTGCACAGCAGGTCCCTGGAACCCTGTTTCTCTGTGTGCATACTCAGTGTGCTATGTCAGGGTGGCACATGAGCAACATAGACCCATGTGACCTTTCTACTCACTTCCTGGGAAATGCAGGCTCTACAGTTCTGCTCAGCTCAACCGTTTGTCAATGCTACCTGTGCTTGAATATAGCTTGCCAGTAAAATGGGAAGTCTTGCTGATGTACTAAATCTTTTAGTGTTAGGGTCAGCTTTTTAAAGATCTTTAAATTTTAGGTGAATTTTTGAACAGTCAGTTACAGACATAAATCTGTTTTATTCCCTGGAATTAATTGGGACAGATTGGGTACAAGATAAAGTTAATGACCAGGTTAAAGAAAGAAGCCTTTACCCGGACACTGCACCTAAAGGGCTCTAGATTCTAGAAAGACAGTGTCTTCTAATGGAGAAAATAAGTTGGGGAATTTATCTAAAATGTACCTACCTATATTGGTATTTCATAAAGAAATGTATTTTCGAAACCTTTCTAGAAATGTTTGACACTCCAGTCAAATAATATTTCCCTTTAGTAGATTGAAATATTTACTCTTGGGCCCCCCGCAGAGGGCTGCCTCTCCCAACACACATTTACTCAGAAACACTGACACCTTTTTTAGTGAAGGGAAAATTCCATCTATGGTGCTTTCTCAGTGCTAGGGAAAAGGGAGCGTTTGCTATGTGCCAACTGTAACTCACATCTTATTTTAAAAGTGTCCATGAAACAGATTCTTCACACTGATTTGATTAGTCTGTGTTGAGCATGTAATGAATTCCCAGGCAGAGTGGAGAGAAAATGCATTTTGCAAACATTCTAGATAACAGATGAACTATTTCAAAACCATACATAAAGCCTGAGTATTAAGATCAGATCATCTAGCCAGTGGACAAATTAAACTCTCTTTGTATTTTTCTTTTCTGTTTTCTTAATTTTTTATCATTTCAGTTTTCTTAAGCACAGAATGACAGGATCAGGAATGGAAAATGAGACTCAAGTTTCACCATTATTATTGGTGGAGTTTCAACCAATCATTACTTGCTAAGATGAGACTAGGGGTTACCTGTGTATTTCATTCACCTTGTTCATACATTCCTTCACTGTGGACAACTGAGAGTTTCTGTGACTTCATTGCTTAATGGAAATATCACCGTGTACATGTGGTTTGGCACTAAGGATTGCTTAGGCGTGTGAATGCTGGTCTTAGATGTGCAGA